TCAACCTAGGCCCTTCCTTGTTGTTACAGCACAAAAAAACGTGGGGTGGCCCCCACTCATGTGGGAGGTCATCCCTTTGTGTCCCGGTGTGTACAATCGGTCCCGAAAGTTGTATTTTTCGGACTGTTTTAATCATAATTTATTTTATCGGGTAAAATAAAATATATTATGTGTTCCCCATCATAACTCCCCTTTGAAATAATATATATTCCAAAACTTTAATTTGGAAGTCTCCGAAATTCATTTTCGGGCTGTTATCTGTTTAATTGTCGGTACCGGTAATTGGGCTTCTTTTGACCAATCGGTCAACCCCAGGCCTTCCCATGGCCAAATAAGATGTCCACCACCATATAAATATTATTTCGACCCATAATGATAATTTATGTGATCTCGGGGATATCGGGCGGCCCCCGCTCCCGGTGTGGGTCCCACGTGCAATTTACTATTCACGCGAAAGAAATAATAAAAATTTACAACTTCGTAAATTCATCAATCCTTTAATAAGGTTCAATACATTATTTACATAAAAGTAAATATATTTGGGGACGGTGTTACAATGTTTCTAAGAATACTATTGTTAAAAAAATGTTAAAAAAAATCTTTTAGTGGAACTGTTTTACCGGAACCAAATCCTAAGGCTAATTGCAACCCAGCAATTCAATTTTTCTGTGCAATCCAGCAACGTCAATATATTCTCCTAACAAAGCTTTTTTTAATTAAACTCATCTTTTTATTATTTATACATTTTTTTTTGGTAATATTTTTTTACGAATAATCATGATTTTAAATGTCCTGACTATTACTCCTCTGTGGAACCCCCATACCAGTACTGGAGGACCCTTCAATCAGCCACTTGTTACCCCCTGTGGGACTAGTCTTCACCCCACCCCCAGCTCTAAGATTTACTCCATAATTTATATCAAAGGTGATGTTCTCCCCCTCATACACCACCGGGCAAAATTTACCAGAATGCCCAATAATTTCACAAACAAAACAAAAATCAGGGAGTTTTTCATACTTAAAATCCACTCATTGACTAATCTCCACCTTTTTCACTGTAATACCTTTTTCAGGGGGTCTCCTAACATCCATATGGATCCTAATTCGCATATAGGCCTCCCATTTTTCATCAAACTGGCTTTCATCAAAACTAATGAACTTTCCAATATAGTTGCCAATTCGCCTAGCGGAGCTCAAATTCATAAAACCGTAAGCCACATTGTGAACTTGTACCCAAAATTCAGCCTCATGAAGAATTGAAGACTAATCTGTAGAAGAATATCCTCCACCTTGATTTCTTTTAGGAGTAATAAGTTTCTATCAAACAACCACGGCCGTTCATCTAGAACACGTCTCATATCTAAAATATGGTAAAAAGTAAAGATGTACTTCTTTTCACCAATTTCCTTAATGGACACACCTTTGACTAGTCTCCACAAAGATACCATCAAATCCTTGAAGAACTGATATTTGATCTTCCGGTCCGTAAGAACCATACCCACCACCGGGAAATCGTCTTTTCTTCGTTCGCCGAGTGCTCTCCATCTTCCTCATCATCGAAAAATCGGCTCCTCCTTGTCCTCAGTCATAGCCATTTGTTAATATAAATTAACTATGTCTTCCATTGAAGGAATCCATTACTGCTTCACACAATCATGCTTTCGTCTATGGGACAGCCGAAGAAGAAAAACGTCCCTCGGAGATCGTCCTCCAGCCGCCGTAGAAGACTCCCGCAGCCTGCGTCTCGCCCAGCCCTTGCGATCCTAACACCCATAGCCCACCGACTCGGCGGCCGCTCCTCGGAAATCTGATAGCGGAGAAAGTGAGGCTCTAGCGTCACCAAGCCCTAGAGAGAGAGAAAAAGTGAACTATTCTATTGGAATTTTATCTTAACATTTTTAATAAGTGTAAATCCAATTACATATTCTTTTAAACAACACTTGAATTTTGTGATGAAAGAATAGTTATGATAAAAGGCAAGTAAAAACGCATATGTATATTTTATAGAGTTTTTTCCCGAAATAATGCTAATTAATTAAATAATTCCCAAAATACTGTTGGGCTAAAAATAATTCCCAAAATACTGCTGGATTAACCGTGGTTAAGAAAAGCCGCCACTTGAAGTGGCGGCTCTTCTCTTACAGTACAAAAGCCGCCACTTCAAGTGGCGGCTCTTCTCTTACAGCACATTTTGTACATATATAAAACGCAGTATGTTTCAAGAATGTTTTAACTATCTTCCCTATTGAATTTTGAGCTGAACTTTTGTATGAATAAACAAGACTTGATGAGAAACATGTTCAAAAAGTTTCATAAAAAAATTCCACTGGGAAGACTCTCTGATGGTGTTGTCCGCACGGGGGTTCTGGTCAGGACGTCGTGACACGAATAGGACATTTTTATGAAATTTGAGGTGCTTCCGAGTTGATTTTGTTGATGACATTTGGTGATCATGTTCTTCCTAAAGTGTAGGTTATGTTACCAAATTTCAGATTAAATTTAAATCAAGAAGTTAGTTAAATTATTTATTGAAAAAACATGCATTTTTAGGCCTAAAAATTGTGCAATTTCAAAAATTTGTTTAACTAACTTCCCGATTGAAATGAACCAACTGAAGATTCGAGCTATCACCGCCATCATTATGCCCTTACAAACAATTCTTTCTCTTCCACTTGCTAAATAAATATGAACTCTCTTTGAGCAGTTTATGGCCATTGGAAACAGTTTCAACACTCGTATCAACTTTATCAACCGGTACTATTGCTCTAAGTTCCAATTGCACAATCACAGTTTCGCCCAATTCACTTGAGCTCATATCTGGAAGGCAACGGTAAATTCAAATTCTATAATCTAGAGAAGCATGTGTAATCCTACAACATACAAACTATTGATAGAAATGCTCAAAGTAATGTAAAAATGGAAATGCATATCACATATAACACATGCAGCTAAAACATGATGACTTATGGACAAATTATCAACAAATATGAAACAATAAGAAAGTATAAAATATTGCTTCCGGAAAATAACATACCAAACGATTTAGTTGCATAATTTCTGAAATTTTCTTGGCAAAAATTTTGTCTCGTGCCTTCTGAAAATGTTCATGTAATTTGTCCCGTGCCATCTAAAAGTTGCAATTTTAGGCCTATTTCATTTGAACTATTTCCGGGTCGAATTTGTTGATGAAATTTGGTGAGCATGTTCCCATGGAATGTAGATATGTCCACCAAATTTTCGATTGAAATTTAATCGGGAAGTTAGTTAAATAAATTTTTAAAAATTGCATAATTTTTCGGCCTACTAAAAATGCAGTTTTCTTCAATAAATTATTTAACTAACTTTTTTATTTAGTTTTAATCTGAAATTGGGTGAATATAACCTACACTTTAGGATGAACACGATCACCAAATTTTATCGAAAAATTTGACTCGGAAGCCCCTCAAATTTCATAAAAATGTCTCATTCCTGTCACGAAGTTCTGACCGGAACCCCGTGCGGACAACATCATCATAGGGCCTTCCCGGTGAATTTTTTTGATAAACTTTTTTTGAGTATGTTCTTCATCAAGTCTAGTTTATTCATACCAAATTTCAGCTCAAAACTCAATCGGGAAGATAGTTAAAAAAAATCTTGAAACATACTATGTTTTATATATGTACAAAATGTGCCGTAAGAGAAGTTTCGCCACTTCAAGTGTCGGCTTTTGTACTGTAAGAGAAGAGCCGTCACTTCAAGTGGCGGCTTTCCTTAACCACGGTTAACTCAGCAGTATTTTAGGAATTATTTCTAACCCAGCTGTATTTTGGGAATTATTTATTTAATTAGCATTATTTCGGGAAAAAACTCTATTTTATAAGGAAGCCACAATAATTGCAACAAAACCAACTCCCACGTGCTACACATAAATATGTATGTATATTTCTTCATGCGTAAAAATAAACGAAAATGACTTATATACAATACGTACGTAGTATATAACAAATAATCGAAATTAATTGATGATAAAATCTCATTAAATTACATTAAAGATGGGTACTGTCATGTGTCTATTAGATATCAACAGAATAAAAATTGAAACGAATCAAACAAAAAGAGCTGGCAAATTGAAGTACAAAATGTTCAATTGGTCTCTCACTCTCTCTATAGTACGAAGTAGTAAGGCGTGAGATATTAATCCCATCAGCAAACTTATTAAGGATTGTAATTTACAACTATCAACGTCTAGTCTAATCTGATTTAATTTAGTCTGATTTGATCTGGTTTGAGCCTGAATTAACTCCAAATAAAAACATTTTAATACTTGGAACTTTGGGTGGTTTGCACAATGATTTAATTAATGATAGTTATTGTTATTTTTCCAAAAGAAGATAAATTTTTATTTTTATTTTCAAAAATATCACTAAAATAAAACTTATTTATACAAATATGTCTAATAGTTACAACAATGTAGTGTTACTAACTTAAGTTTGAAAATTAAACATAAATTACCATGATTTCATTACTACTCTAGCCACTAGTCACATTTTTGTAAACAATTTTTATTTTAGTCTCTAATTTTCAAACCATTTGACTCAAATCTCACAAACTCACAAAATGTCACATTATTATGTTGGCGTACAACTAGTCACAATCATACTACATTTCATACCTTTTTGAATATAAAAGAACAGTTTTTTAAGATATCATACAAGATAACCTCGAGACAGTTATGTCACGGTCGATCATAAGTCTTAAGAGTAGACATAGAATCAGTCACCGCATACAAAGCAATCTGATTCACTAGACAAAAAACGGGCAAATTTAAATCTAAACAATCGGAACTGAAATACTTCCTATTAAAAGTACTCCGGAAATCCAAATATCCAAACCAAACATACTCGAAATAAAATAAAAATAAGTACTAATAAAAGAAAAATAAAATTGAAATAAAACATTTTCGCAAAAAAGATCTGACATGGAGGTGATTCTGGAAAAATAAAGGCGATTAAATTATTAGAGCCGCAAACTTCAAATTTTAATCAATATTTTGTTATGAAAGAAGAATATCTATTTATTAACAATGAAAGTAACACGAGGGCAATACAATAGCTCAAAGCTACACTGTGATGAGATATAGAGTCGATCAGCCCCCACGGATCAATCATATTCGCTAATCCCGCAACTATGTAGACTAAACTTAACAACACTATTGAACTTGCTACTAAAATAAGGGAGTAAATAAGAATTTCTTAAAGAAAAGCAACAAAATAATTCTAGCATCCCGGTTTTACCAGTCACCGGGAAGGGAAGAGGGGTTTGGCCAGCCACGTCCAAAGAAAGCATCTCATTTGCAGGACCTATCAGTATTTCAGACGGTGTTGTTCCGGGAGCACCGTTGTTGAGATGTTTTTTGACCCATTCCATCAACCTCCATATGGACCATTAATGAGTTCCAGTCCTAACAGGATTACAGGATCAATACCCATATTCAATTAATTAAATAAAATAAACAAAACAAATTAATGATGTGAGGGAAGTGGGTTGCACGCCCCTTTTCCTCACCATCATTATTTATTTTGTTTTACCTTTTCTTTCTAATTCCAAATCATAAAGAAAACTTTATTTAATTATGAATTCTCTCAACATCATGAATTAAATATAGTTTAGTCTAACTAATATTTAATCCATTTTCAGTACTATGAATTAAATATTATTTAATCCAATTAATAATATTCAATTCCTTCTAACAATTCAATCAGAAGGTATAATCACTTGTTGTGTGACCCATAGGGCCTTATATATTAAACACTAATCAAATTAAGGTCTTAGCAGAATCACTAGACGATTTACCATACAAACTTAATATATAAGGACGTTTGCGAGGACTATTCAAACTCCCTGTGATATAGAGCCCATAGACTCATAGTGATAGAGTGCTTTCATTCAACGAACATTCAACTAAGTCTAGAACATGATATTGTGTCTATTCCAATAACTTAGTTTCTGTCTCTCAATCTTTCTAGATGATCCATAATGATCATATTCGATATCCAAAACGAATATATCTTTGCGATTGCCAATGACTTTATGATCCATCTAGATATGAGAATAAGAATGTTCTCTCTTAATCTATTATGAGGAATGAATCCTTTCTTGGCTCAACTATTACTCTATGTGCTTCATGATGTACCCAACACATGTCATGTCTACACTTATAAGAGTGCAATCGTTGGTCATGATCAAAGTACATCACTCCGCACATGTAGTACGTATTGACCTCAAGTCGGTTGACTATTACACTACTCTATACGCCGATAATCCCATAGACACATGAATAGACATCCTCCCATAAGTAAGAGATATATCTCCATTAGAAAACGATGGACAAAGCACGCTCACAAAATTTGGCGACAAATCGAACTTAGTAGCACAACCCAACAAACAAACGTTTACAATGAACCACAACAATACCTCGAGCCAAAGCAAGAAAATTTAATCAAACAAAATCAGACGGAGAAAGAAATCTAAATTATGAAAACAGATTGAAAAAGACACACCGAAAAGGCATAAGCCTATAGTGCGCCAGAATCCTCGTACGTAAGTCAAAGGGCAGTCACCGGACACCTCCGATTCACTCAAAACCAAACGAGAGAGGCCACTTGGTTGCCGCACGTCTCTAGGGTTCTCACATCTCCAGTTTTTTCCTGGATATTGATATATCTTATTACATTTTAATCAATAACAACAACAATAATATTAATAAAATAAAAAAGAATGGCACAAATGTTACTTCCCAACTTTTATTTTATTGGATAAAAATATGACCCGTTTAAAAATTGACAGAAAAGTGATTCACCCTGCTTTCAATTATTTGACGTATCGTCTACGACCTACAGCTCCGACCAACCTGTCTCGCTAGCCTTCTCGATCACTTTCGTCCTCATCGTTGAACCACCACTAACCAAGCTCCATTGTGACTTGCAGCCACCACATCTGCCGCAATCTAACTTCACCGATGGTAGCATGTAGGAATGTAGGATCTTTGCGTCCCTCATTGATTCGTTGCTTAGGATTTCTAATTGCAAAAATAGACCCCAATTTCTTATGTGTCTCCCAATTTCTGAATCTACGACGACAACTCGCTACAATTCAAAATTGGTTGATGTGTAAATCCAACGGTGTAGGTTACGAGGGCTCAGACAACAACTATGGTTATATGGGGGGCTGGTGTGGGTGGTGCAGGGACGAGTGAAGTACTGTGGGCAGTGACAGGCTGGCGGGTAGTGATGGGTCTGATGGGTAGGGGGCGATAGCGATGGACGAGCAGGGGTAGTGGCGGCGAGAGTGTGCGCGAATGCGATGCCCGAAGTATTTGTGAGGGCGGCGACAGGTGGTTGGGGCGGGAAGATAGTGGTTTTGCTTTCGGTCTAAATGTAACTCTTCGCCACACCACACATGGTTGGGGTTGGGAGGGGGTCGGCGCAATGTCGTTGGTGGTGGTGGTGTCTTTGAGCGAAAACGGTCATAGTGACAACTAGCCGACATAAAATCTGGTAGTGACAACTAGCGATGACATAAAATTTGATAGAGACATGAAAATCTGGCAGTGACATCATGTATTTTTTTTATATATGACCTTAGTCACATTTCAATCTTTATGTATAAATGATCGTATTTTTAGAAATTGAGTTCAATGTTTAGTAGTACATTCGTCCTCCTAAGATTGAGACAAAAGAAAGTGGTGTGTTTTTTAAGAAACGTAGAATTATGTAGTTGATAATGAATTGATAAAGTTGAAATAAAGAGTAAATTAGTGTCACACAAATATTATCAAATACTCCGTATGATATAAAACAAATTTAGTGGATTAACAAAAATGAGACAATTATAATACCCTACGTCCTAAAACAAAAACATATTTTCCTTTTTGGGTTATCCCTATATAAAAGGCTCATTTCCCTTTTTAAAAAACAAAACAGTGCAAAATAGTGCAAAAGTTTCAAAACAGTGTTAAACAATATTCCTTTTTAGAAATAATATTTTTTTTTTATAAAAAGGCTCATAAAATAATACTCCCTACTATGTATTGAGTAACAGACACGACATCCCGACATACTACCTCCGTTCTCTTTTAAATGCAACGTTGGACTTTTTGCACTATTCACATGTTGTACTTTGACTACGTTTTATTTATTAATGTAATAATATATATTTTTGAAAAAAATATTGTTAAATTTTTCTCATTATAAATTTTCAAAATCTATTTTTTAAACTTTTTTTACTAATCGGGAATTATAGATATTAATGGTCAAAGTTGTGCCTCGGCAAATGTGAAATGTTGACTGTTGCATTTATTTAAGAACGGAGGAAGTATATACTACTGACATGTGATAATAATATCACACTCCCATTACTTGTTTTTTTAGGAGTCCACATGATTTCGTTTGGTCCCATCAATTTATAATACTCCGTAAAAATCTAAAAACATTATAATTGTGAGTGTTTGTTAGTATCCTTGAATTATGTCAACATTTTGAGTGCATGAAGACTTGTACATTATTATTAAACTATGATACCTTAATATTTATGGACAAAATAGCCATGCCATCGTTAGAAGTGATTAACGGCTGCCAACACAGGTTTTCCCAAATGCATTCATACTCTTAAGTAAAATGAAGGCCCACACTATAGTCTATATACGGATGGGAATCAGGAATGTGTGCATTTGTGAAAAAGCAACATTTATAAATTCTTTTTCACATTAAAATAAAGAGTACTTTTTTCTTGATTATAAATAAAGAGTAAACTTTAAATGATTTAGATTTTTTTAAAGTGATTAATTTCTTAAAGTTGTGCTTGATATGTCTAAACTAATAAAATTTGTGGTCTCTAACTTGTATAGGAATTGTATTAATTTCAAAAAACACTCTTCCTATTAATTTAGAGATTAAGGATTTATTTAGTAAGATCCAAAATGAACGGTAGTCGTTGAGTCTTTGTCTCTACTGAATTATGAAGAGGTTATGTTGAAATATGTTTTATTACTACATATCTCTTAAGTTCATTTTCAAATAATGATTGAACATGTTCATTGACAAAATCACACACAAAATCTACCAAAGTACAAAAAAGTATTCATATATCATAAAAAGTGAAACTCCAAAAAAATCAAAAACCTAAATTTGTCATCTTTTGCAATTAAAATAATTTCAATTCTTTGTGCGTACTTAGTGAAGTAGTGTTTGGTAAAATCTCTATTGATAATACTAATATGCTAAACAAAATGGTCACATAAAATTATTAAAAGAAGATTTACAAGAAGCTAAGCGACATGTACAAGTTCTAACTTCTATTAAATGAAGCTTCACCTTCCTTATGCTTTCTTTTTATGATCAATTTAGCTATTTTCCTATAAACTTATGGTAAATATGGATTCATCAACAATCTTAATTAATTAGCTTAAAGACCAATGTCAATGGAAGATGTTTATTATATCTAGTGACTATAACAATTACATACACCGTGAATAGTTTATTAGAATATCAAGTTATTTTGATTGGTGATACATGCATACTTCAAGTTTTGTTAAACTTGAGATTTAAGAGTGGATTGTTGTTGTTCTAGTATAAATTACTATTAAGCATTATTAATGTTTAAATTGTATTGTTGGGCATTAACTCTCGCGCATTGCGCGTGAAAACGCTAGTATTTTTATATAATTGCAATGAATGTTGATATATATTTTTATAATTGCAATGAATGTTGATATATATTTTACTTTTTAAATAAAAAGTAAAATGCTTTTTTTAAAACTGGACATTGAAACACCTACATTAATTAAACAAATCCATTGTAGATCTGCGCCTTTTTCTAAAGAAAATGTTCTTAGCTAAAATGTAGTTGAATTGTCACAATTAGAATGTAAGAGCATCTTGGTACAATGTGCACGGTGCGCACGTGGCATGAGAGATGACCACATAAATATTAGTAAATAAATTATTTCTCTCCTTATTTGAATGATTTTATTTAGTTTTGGTAAGTTTTTCTCCACAATGTCAAGGAGACCGTCTAATGTTGACATTGCTGATGACATTGCAGGGAAAAACTTACCAAAATTGTATAAAATCATTCAAATAAGGAGAGAAATAATTTATTTGCTAATAATTGTGTGGTGATCACTCATGTCACATGTGCACCGTGGACATTATAGCATTGAAGATGCTCTAAGGTTTTATTCTTACTTTACAATTCTTTTGTTACTATTCATAGTTTATTGCATTCGTCTAATACCTTTATTAACGTGATATATATGACAATTTTATTACTAATCGAGATATCACTTTCAAATCTGAGTTTCTATTCAAGGTAATTTGCATGCAATAATCGAGATGAGATTTTTTATTAATTGAAAACTAAGCATGTTTTCTTTTGGACTGTTTTCAGTCCCAGACCAGACCAGACCATACCAGACTTAAACAGACCAGATCAGACCAGACTTCCGTAGTTATAAAATACACAAAGACCAGACGTTTATCAGAACAGACCAGACCAGTTCAGACCAGACCAGGCCAGACCAGACTTAAACAGATCAGACCTAACCAGACCAGCAAATTTCAGTCCGGAAGAAAACATCCTAAGATGACATTCTTATTACGATTCAAGATCGACATTTTTTATTTTTTACCAGGTAATAATAGTTTTCAACAAGTCAATATGTCAAAATATGGCCGAGATGATATATTTTATTGTTGTGAAAATCGGGTGACATTAGTGATTTGGTGACCATTAGACTTGATATTTATAATTCGACTTGATTACATTATACGCAATAACTTGATAATAGTACTCCTATTATAGAGCTTGTTTGGTGACCCCTTTTTTCGGTTTATCGGGCTTATCGGTCAGTTTTTTCACTAAACACGTAGTTTTTTATTTTGCGCGCTGAATTTTGTAATAAGCAGAAAAAGTAAAGTTGAAGTTACTTTTCTGGCTGTATTGACTGAAGTTACTGTAGAGGATCATTTTAACTATTTTTTCATATAATTTTTTATTTAATTTATTAATAACAAATATTTTAAATATAATTTTTACATGAATCAGCATAATCAGCCAATACAACAACTTCAGCCAAAACTTCACGAACTTCAGCAAAATCAGCCAATTCAGCCAATTTTAATGTTACCAAACGGGGTCATAATGTCTCTACGATAGTCATTCTGGTGTTGAGGCCTGAAGGTTGCGTTTTGTAAGATTGAAAGTATGCAATACATGTTCTATTTTAAATAAGGATGTTATTTGCATTCACTGCTACTTTTACTCCTCTTTTGCATTTAGTCATGTTTTAGTTAATTTTTTATGTTTTTCAAATCCTTAACCTTCATCCCAACTTAAAGTTGTTACTTGTTTTTTAATTATTGGTTAGCATTAATAAATAATGAGGCCGTTTGGCAACACTGTTTTTCGGCTTATCAGGCTTATCAGCCAACTTTTTCACCAAACACATAACTTTTGCTTTCACGCGCTAAATTGTGTAATAAGCAGAAAAAGTAAGGTTGGAGTTACTTTTCTGACTGTATTGGCTGAAGTTATTGTAGATGACCATTTTAGCTATTTTACATATATTTTTTTTTATTTTATTAATAAAATATATTTTAAAAATATTTTTTTCTTAAATTAGCAGAATCAGCCAATGTAGCCACTTCAGCCAGAACTTCATAAATTTCAGCAGAATCAGCCAAAACAGCCAATTTTGGTGCTACCAAACGGGCTCAACAATTTAATCATAAATCAGTAAAAGTAATACATTTATACCATCATAGATATAATCAATTACCTCATAATACTACATACTCATCAAAGTATATCTCAAAATATACTCAAACTACTTTGTTTAACTATTGTATAAACAAATGTGTCATTGTTCAACAAAAACCTTAAGTCCGGACGAAAATAATATTTAAATGAGAACATCTCTATGATTATTAAAATTACTACTATAGTTACTAAGTATGAGAGTAATAGTTTTTGTCATTATTTTAGTCTTACAATCCCTATTTGTCATTACTCCGTATATCTTATTCTTTTGGGAAAGTTCCCGAAATAGGACTAAAACAGTTTGAAAATTCCAAAATAGGACTGCCATGTTTTTTATTCCCAAAATAAGAGTAATTACTGTCATGTTTGGAAAATACTGCCATGTTTGAAGTCTGGTACTGCCAAAACATGACAGTAATTAGTCCTATTTTGGGAATACAAACATGACAATCCCATTTTGGAATTTTCAAACATTTTTAGTCCTATTTCGGGTAATATCCAAAATAGGACTAAAAAGGTTTGAAAATTCCAAAATAGGACTGCCATGTTTTTATTTCCAAAATAGGATTAATTACTGCAATGTTTTGGCAGTTTGAAAAGGTTTGAAACCAAATTACGGGTGTAAGAGAATATTACCCAAAATGGGACTTAAAAGGTTTGAAAATCCCAAAATAGGACCGCCATGTTTTTATTTCCAAAATAGGA